GGTGCAGCAGTGTTTACATCATCTGTCCTGTCTGCACGCTGACAGACTGCACACAGCTGGCGGGCTTTCTAAAATAAAGCTGCGCCTTCAGGCCTTTCCCCTGTTGCCCTGCTGACCTGCACCATGCAGGCCTCTGCAGCGGGTATTTTTAGGCTAAGGAGACGCTACCGGCCTGCTTCCAGGACGTTAGCTTTGTTGTTGGGGTGTCTGAACACACGAGCTGAGTTCGACTGTGTGTGTTTGTACTTGCAGCAACAAATCAAAACTCGGGTACATCAGCTGATTGAAGCGCGCTCAGATTATTCAGTAATCTGTGCTGTTTACAGAATATCTTCAACATGAGGGTAGAAATGTGTTCCCATCAACCTTAGAGGCATCCAGGAGCTGCCACAGAACAGAATCCAGGTCAGAACTATGGACTCACTTCTCTTTAGGCTGATCTCTGACGTGTCTGATCCATAAAAAGGCTTGTTGTGAAATAGAACGCTCCACCATTATTTGATCAGATTAAACAGGTTTTTAGGGCGATGCCAAAGTTGCTGCTTGTAGCTTCTGAATGAATATTTTCTGGCTGCAGCGTTTCCTGTCCAGGCTGCTGGTCCAACACGCTGACACGACCTCTGGACGACACGGTGGTGAGTTCACACCTACTGAACAAAACTTTGAATCAGTTAATGCATGAAAACCACGTGGTTACCTGAAACCAGGACCTGCAGTCTGAACACACTCCGGCCTGACGGAGATGAAAACAGCACACCTCTCCTGAGCAAAAACCTTTTTTATTTCTCGTTGAAAGGAACTTGGTAGAATATTACAGCAGAACACACATGACTGAAACAGCTGCCATTTCACGTAACACAGTACAGGAAGAAGGATGTAGTTCAATCGCATGTGTAATATCATATATAGTATATTCATATCAATAGAAAAGAAAAAGAACTATTGCTCCCAGGTGTTGAGTTTTTTCATATGGCATTTCTCTGCTGTGTTGAAGTGGGTAAAGTAAAGTTCAACGAGAGGTTCACACACCAAAGGAAGTGGGACAATGAAGTGACGCTTCCCAGAACCATGGGACGCTGTGGCTTGCTTTCTTTTTTTATTCGGCTGAGAAGTAAACTTGAACTTTCTTTTGTCTATTGCAATACAGAAATAAAACTTGAAACTGCTCTCAAAAATGGATAAATACCATCATACAGCAATCAGAATATGCTAAAGAAAAGAACACAAGGCAGCTCCGCGGGAGAGCAGGCATGCAAAGATGATCATATTTAAAAAGGAGCACTAAAGACAAAATGCTGATGGTTGCAGGTGTTTGCGTCGTATGGCAACTGATGGAAAGCCAATCATGACAAAACATGGGAAAGGTGTGGACTGAAACGAGGGACAGCTCGATGCTCGGTAAAGTGAACTGGAGTGCTGAGTGTTTGCTGACAAACTACTTCAATGAAGTTGTTTCTAGAAATTGCTATAACATACTGTGTTATCAATTTGTTGTACACGTTTTAATTTCCTCTAAGGAACAAAAGAAATGTTAGGAAAAAGCAGGTATGAAATATCACCCTGGACAGTTGCATCCAAGCTTAGTGTTTTAAATAAGCCACTTTAGGCAGCGTTATCTAATAAATGTCTCATATTTCTAAGACATATTTCAATATATCTCTTTTGAAAAATAATTCTATCTATACTTGATCTGTTTAGTAAGTAAATCTCTTCCAGTATATATTTTTCTCTTTTTTCTGGAGGTACAGCGCCCCGCTGTGGGTCGTGTTTGTTTTCCAAAAGCACCTAATTCTTGTTACAATCAGACTGAATACTGCTTCAGTCATTAATGGTCTGAGTTCAAGATTAGAGGATCCAAATGGTGCACCCTAACTCGGTCGACAAGGCCAGCACCTCGAGACCGCAGCTCCAGCCCGGCAACATTAAGCTTTAACTCAGAAAACAGTGACCAGTGCTAGAGGCCTGAGCTCAGAGTCCCCTTCGACAGGAAAAGGTCACCGGGGTGGAACGTGGCGCCGCAGCAGAGGAGACATCATCAGTTGCCACAGACGGCTCAGCTGCAGCAACTGGCTGACCAGATCTGCACCCAGAACCTCTTGAGGATGATGCACAGGCACAGGTGATGCTGACACACCCCAAGAACACACACGTGGGACCTGCCAGCCTGAGACACAACAGGCCACGTGTGAGCAGGCCTCAGCACACTTCAGCTGCTGGAGCAGGAGGTCGGCGCCTGAGGGACGCCCAGGAGGGAGGATGTGCGGAGAGGAGAGGGAGGAGAGGGCCGAGGTCATTCGGACTCTTTTGGATTGTCCACAGAATCCAAACGAGTCGTGTGCTTGTAACAGATCACCTTACGGGGACCTCGCTGGGCTGAGAGGAAGTCCTGCGGCGCCAAAGGGTGCTCCGGTGTAGCTGAGACCGGCTCTGGGTGTCGTGGGTCTGCGTCCGGTCCGTACGGGTCACTTTAGACGGAAACACAGAGCCAAGGTGAGCGATGCAGGCGCTCCGTCTCTCTCCCGCCCTGCACCTGCTGGTTTGAGGATGTCACACTTCCTTATTATCATCACAGACAACAGGTCAGCGCCAGGTGAGCTCTTACCATTGGATATCAACCAGGAAGCGGTACCGGTAACCTACTGTTGTGTCTTGAGCACTGCCAAACTTAATTTGCTGGGCTACATGTGTGAGGTCATCAAATGGACAATCAATATATATATGTATATAATATATATATATATATATATATATAGATATATATATATATACTTCTTATTTTCTATCAATGGGGAATCTCATACAGGAGCCTACTGTTGTGTCTTGAGCACTGCCAAACTTAATTTGCTGGGCTACATGTGTGAGGTCATCAAATGGACAATCAATATATATATGTATATAATANCAGGCGCTCCGTCTCTCTCCCGCCCTGCACCTGCTGGTTTGAGGATGTCACACTTCCTTATTATCATCACAGACAACAGGTCAGCGCCAGGTGAGCTCTTACCATTGGATATCAACCAGGAAGCGGTACCGGTAACCTACTGTTGTGTCTTGAGCACTGCCAAACTTAATTTGCTGGGCTACATGTGTGAGGTCATCAAATGGACAATCAATATATATATGTATATAATATATATATATAGATATATATAGAGATATATATTTATATACTTCTTATTTTCTATCAATGGGGAATCTCATACAGGAGCTGACTGCTGCCACTCATTAGCTATAACATCCAGCTAAACTGTAGAACATGTTTCTCTTATATAGACAGTAATTTCTCAGTCAAATATACTTTTTTTTATTTACTCCGTTGTTTTAGCTTTTAAAGTTCGATTCGTCATGCACAGAATATTCGTTCCTCTCTCTCGGGTCCTGTTCATCTCCAGGCTTTGCATCATGTTGTCAGCTTCATCACAACGAGCCTCCTCTGCCTCTCCATCAATCGTCGTCCACGTCGTCGCCCTCCGACTCCTCTCCGGTTCTCCTCTCGTACATCTTATCCCGGTGCCGCTCCTGGATCTCCTTCATCTCCTCGGCGTAGCGGCTGAACGCTCCCCCGAACTTGCTCCACGCCTTGAAGGGGATCGTTATAGAGTTTCTGTAACTGGGCTTCACTTCGCTCACCCGTAAGAAAACTCCGTACTTGTTGGATCCAACGTCAAAGAAGAACCGCTTGGAGTCCACCATGATGGAGGTGCCCTCCGGAAGCTCGCTGTAGCCCCCGGCTCCTCCGCCACCGGCCAGCTCCTCCTCGTCCCCGCCGTAGTCGTCTATCAACTTGGCCAAGGCGTCGCGGAATTCTATCAAGCCCTGGGCCGGGAGTGCGATGGTCTGTCCGGCCTGCAGGCCAGCGCCGGGGATGCCGCCCACTCCGACTCCGAAACCGGGGCCTCGGTTGACGGTCTGTCGGATCCGCAGAAAGCGGCCCCGCTGGTTCTCCTTTAGGTCGAGGTAGTATTTTCGGTTCTCACGCACCAGGAACTCGCTCTTCAAGGCCCGTCTAGGCCCGGTGTCATCCCCACCGGATGATTGAGCAATCTGCTCCGGGGTGCTAGGCCCGAGCTGGGCGTAGTGCTCTATGAAATCCCCCAGGTAGTCGCGGAACTCAGCCGCAACTGACATGGACAGGGTCAGCCGACTTTTCGAGCCCCCGGCGCCGACCTCGGCGATTTTGATGAACCGGCCTTTGGCGTTCTGTTTTACGTCAAGGTAGAAGCGTTTGTTCTGAATGTCCAGCCGCTTCGAGGCCAGCTCCTGGGTCTCCGGCTCCCGCTGGTAGTGCTGAAACCCGCCGCCTCCTCCCCCTCCGCCGCCGCTGCTGCCGCCGCGCTCACTGCCACTGTCCCCATCCGCCATCTTCGCCACCAGCAGCCCGTTTCTCTGCGTATCTTTGACCCCCACCCCCCCTTGATTGCCGAGCAAGCGGAGGAAACCGGACGCTGGCTGCTGCGCTCTGATTGGCCTCGGAGGCTGCCAATCACAACATCAGATAGCGAGCTTGTGTTCCCATTGGTCCTCTCTGCTGCCTGTGAATAAATGCACACGCCCCCTGAATGACATTCGAGTACATATTGTATTTACGACCCATAACAGCGCTTCATGACAGTGTGGGACTCCTCTGTAGCGCCTGCGTGCGCCGGAGGACGGGTCTGTTTCTGAACCCACAGTTACCACAAGCAATTCCAGCCTCAAGTCCAACAGAAGTATTTATATCTAAAGAGGATATACATTCCCTTTGCACAGAAATCCAGAAGCTAATGCAAACTACAGGTTCCCGGTTATGTATTTTGTACATTTTTGGGACGGGTGTCCCTGGAAGGACACCGAACACACGCAGTCCCGCCTACTTGTTGGTTTCGTGCGCAAAAACAGGCACGATGATCTTAGGGTGGGGGATGGGTGAAGTTTCTGCAAGCTGCTCAGCGATTGGTCGGAAGGGAGATTCGAAGTAACAACACGCACTCCGATTGGCTGCCTGGACTCCCACGAGGGGTCGCATGCAAAAGATTTGCGAAAGGGTTTATTGTTTCTTTGCTTTCGGGAGCCGAAATTGTTTGCTATCTGCTCACTTCTACAATCAAATAACGACACGGAAAAATGGTATGTGCGCTCAGCCTGCTGCTCGGTGCATCACCGGGCGGCTCGGTACATGTGTACGGGGATAAATGTGCAATTGCAGAAAGTGCTGTTTTGAATTTGAACTGTGGAAATTCGACCAGAATGTGTGGTTAAAAAGCTTGCTAAAGAGCTAACTGTCAGCTAACATGTTAGCATTACCGTTAACGTTACCGTGAGAAGTCCGAATTTCGTAGCTTTTCCGTTCAGCGTAGCCTTTTATATACATTACAGCTGCTGTTTTCAGATAGTCCCTCTTTTGCAAAAGTGTCATGTTTCATGAGAAGTACAAACTTTGATTCATAAAAGTCCTGCTTGAGTCGGTGTAGCCGTTCTGAAAGATGCATTAGCAATTATTAGCAAGCTACGTTTAGCTACTCGCTGCTTAACGGTTGTTGGTAGTTGACGGCAAGTATTTTGTGAAGAGTTTGAAAACGTGGAAGAGCAGGTGAAGCAGGCAGGGTGACTTCTGTACCTCCACACGACTGCGAGACAAACTTTTCTCAATTGAATCCGCGAATGAAAACTTGACCGCAGCCCGTGTTGAAGCGGCGCGTCTGGCCGGCAGCAGCCCGCTGACAGCTTCTCACGCTTTGGGACAGATTGCCTGTTTTTGTCTCTGAAATCCAGTCGGTTTCGTGCCCGGTTGAACGTGTGCGCTTTGGGGTGCCGGCTGTAGCTGCCGCCGTTGATTTGCTGTGTTTCATGTTTGCTTGGCGGGAAAGCGCAAACTGCTGACCGGGCACCCGTAACGGACCCGTTAAGCGCTCACACGGAGCGGTGCCCGGCTCTCTGCTGTCGGTTAACCGTCTGCTGTGATCCCGTTGTTAGTCTGCTTGGCTGCTCGGTGCCGGTATGAAGCTGTGTTGTTGTTTTATTGTTGTTTTATTGACACTTCTGTCAGTTTTGCTTCTCTTTTCTGATTCCTTGCTCTTGTGGTTCCTGCTGTAAATCTCCTGTGATTGCTCCATGCAGGCTGGTGGCAAAGCAGGAAAGGACAGCGGCAAAGCCAAGGCCAAAGCAGTGTCCCGCTCCCAGAGGGCTGGGCTCCAGGTAAACGCCTTGCATCTTCTCCCTGGCAGTTTGTGGCCGGCTGCAGGTGTTGCGTGCCATCCACCTCCTTCACACAGGGTTTGCCGCTTGATTTTCGTTGAACCGCTGTCTGGTGTGTGTTTCCTGACAGTTCCCAGTGGGTCGTATCCACAGGCACTTGAAGACTCGCACAACCAGCCACGGTCGTGTCGGAGCCACAGCAGCTGTGTACAGCGCTGCCATCCTCGAGTACCTCACTGCTGAAGTAAGCCGTCCACAGCGCCGGGCTGGTTTGTGATTCACGGTGGCGCCGTATAGTTCTGTTTGTCTGTGGCATGCTGCCGTTTGCATTAACGGTCCATTTGTGTTCTCAGGTACTAGAGTTGGCGGGCAATGCCTCCAAAGACTTGAAGGTGAAGCGTATCACTCCCCGTCACTTGCAGCTGGCCATCCGTGGTGACGAGGAGTTGGACTCCCTTATCAAGGCAACGATTGCTGGAGGAGGTGAGCTGGCCGGTTGGCAAACAGATTAACTAAACTCATCTTCTCCTGTCTGTTAGCGAGCTTTTTTGTCCTGATTGCAGATGCACCGTAGGTAACGCCGCTGCTCGTGGTGCGTTTCATTTCCCAGCTACCTTTTTGTCAAACGTTTAATCAACCAGTGTGTGTGTTTGTGTGTTTCAGGTGTCATTCCCCACATCCACAAATCCCTCATTGGGAAGAAGGGCCAGCAGAAGACTGCATAGATGCCGTGACGACCAGACATTTCGGGGCTTGGGCTTTGATCGGACCAGGAGTTCACATTTGTTCTTTTTTATTATTAATATTATAGCAAACGAAGAGTGATTGTTAGGCTTTGTGTTGTTATATTTTCCCATAACTAGAAAAAAGTTGCGAACACCCTTAACGACAGAAACCCTTTGTATGTTATCGTAGAACGTCTGACTGGGGAGCTCATGATGATTTGAAATGCAGACAGTGAATTTGTTTGATTGGCCTGGGACTGTAATGTTTTATACTGAAAAAGAAATTGTTAAACCATTTTTTATATAAAAAAACAAATCTTGTTTTGTGGTTATTTTCTTGAAGTTCTGATATTTACTACAACACGTTTTTAGGATGATTTTTGGACAGCAGCAGGCAGCAACGTGTGAGATGGTGCTTTTGTTCCTTTTGACTTACTGTAAGATTTGAACTGCACACGGACAGTGATGTATTAAAAGCTGAAGTTTTTACATCTAAATGAAATATTGAAAACGACTTGTTGTAACAGTGCTGCAGTGTTTTGTGTTCATGTTTACAGCAGCTGGAGAAGAACTGTGTTGAGCTTGAACGTGCGTGTTGACAGTGATGCTGGACTGCTGTGATCAGCTGGTCTGGCTGTGGAGCAACCATCCAGCCGCTCTGCTGACTGCAGCTGGTACCCTCCTGTGTCAGCAACATGTGTTGAGGATTGAACATGTGGCAGATCTGAACCACATCAGTGCTGAAATATTGACCTGCAAGACTTACATGTGTAGACGAACTGTCCCACCTACAAGTATAGAGCTTAGAGCCTTTTTTAAAACTGTGTTCAGGGAAATGACTTTGCGTATTATATCTTTGAATAAATACACTTGGCATGTCATCCTTGGCTTGGTTTGAAGCCTCTACTTGGGGTTATTTCTGAAGTCGTGCTGTGTGTTCATGTTCTCTAGTCAGGAGAGTGAAGCCTTGTGTGGAAGGAGGAGCGTCCTACGAGTCATCAGTGTTGCACTTCATCATCTGTACAACTAAGAGTTAACGTCTTGTCTCAGACGTTTTTGCGGTGCCATCGTTAATGGAAAACAGCAAGTGTTGAGTTTTTGTCACCTGACTCAGTTCCAGCAGTGCTGTGTCGGCCAGCAGGGGGAGCCACTGCCATGGACAAAGGCAGCTTTCATTGCCTGATCAAAGGAGCCCTTTTTACAGTGACATACGTACATATATATGTGTGATAGTTTCCCCTACAGCCAACAAGGCCTGCACATTAAAAGAGGCCTGACAAGAGCCTTCAGTGAATAGATGAAGAGGATGAGAGGGTTCAGGGGGCGTGTTCTGGGTTGGTTGAAGTCCACTTGAACCATATGGAGGAAAGAATCACTGCCTATGAATGTGGTCGCTCCGATCACCTTCATCCTGTGAGGACACCCTTCCATCCTGGTGTCAGTGGTGATGTTCCATCTGAAGGGCACGAAGGTTCTCTGATGATCTGCTGAGTGTGAGAATGATATAAACTATGTGCTCCAGCCTTCACAGTCATCACTCAACCCAAAGACGTGTTCTCCACCGGCGTCACCTAAACACCCCATGGGGGCAGGTGTTTTGGAGGACGTGCTCCGACCTGCAGCAGAGCTCCAGACAGACGCTTTACTGGGACACTTGGTTTTTTCTGTCGTGTACATGTTAGACTCCTGTCATGCTGCACCTCTGCAGAATCCCTGACTCGCTAGTTTTACGGTCCGGCCACATACAGAGAAACAGACGTGTCCTTTCTCATGATGTGAACTCACATTGGCTGATTTGTGAACCTGTTCTCTAAACCCCAGACACTTAGGAGGCATCTCACGAGGACATTTGATGCTGTCTTTCTTACGTAACTTTGACTCCCGTCTCTGTTGAGAGGACTCTGTGGTGACGGCAGTTTCCTGAAACATCTTCATGAGAGTGCAGTCGTTTGTTCTAAGTTCACTACGTTCCCCTGAAGTGAAGGCTTGTGCACATGGTGGTCACATTTTATATGATTTGTTTTCTGTAATGTCAGTGAAGCACATTTACCTCCCTTAGCTTACGTTAGCTGTAACTCATCTTAAAGCCACCCTGTCCGACACCAGAACCGTATTGGTGCATGTGAGTGAGTTGTCCTCTGCTGCAGGACGACTACAATGTGGAGACGTTGAGATCTTTTAAGATTTACATCAAAGTTATGCAGGTTTGAACTACGAATGAATGAAATCCAAAAAGTAAATGAAAACATGAAAACCCCTCCAGACTGCTGTTTCCGTACACAAGCTGAGCACCATCAGATGTTCCTGTTCCAGACTGTGCTGTTGGTCTCCAGCATCGTAGAGTCCTGCCACTGGACCAGAGTTCTGCAGACTTTCATTGACCTTCAAAAGCCACAACACGCTAGAAGCCTCGTGATCCTTCAGAAAGATGCATGTGTGATATTATATTAAATATGCTGCTGTACAGGAGGTGCAGGGGAATCGTGAAGGTCTGAACTGTGGTGAACGGTGGAGGCTGTAGGTGGCTGCTGCTGATCTTCACACAGCGACTTGGCTCTTCTTCCAGATGAGGATGAGAAGAGTTTCCACAGACTGATGCTAACCAGGACACACTGACTGCATCCTCTGAGCAGCGCCTCCCATGACGCTCACCACCGTGAACGAGGACAGCCGAGCCATTTGTGGCGAGTAAATCATGTGATGTAGGCCACAGTGTGTTCCCTCTGTCTGCTGCTGAAGGCTGGAACATGTCGGTTTGGTTTGGCTTTTCTGGAGGTCGGTGCTGCTGCTGATGTTGCTGTGCTGTTTCTGTTTGTGAAACTCTTTGAGCTTCAACCTGGACAGACTTCACTTGGTTTCCACTGCAGCCTCTCCAAACGGCAGCAACATCCATCCGTCAGTCAGTATCTGGGGAGGGAAGCGATGGAGGAGTCGAATTGAAATCCTTTACTTGACGACATGGCCCTGGAAGAACAAGCTCTGTACAAGCTGATGTTAGCATCCTCTGTTCTGCATCCAGAGGGAAACCAACAGTTAAACATATTGCAAGTTTATGAAAATCCTGCTTGAAACCAGAAATCTCTTTCCAGTTTCATTCCTATGTACATCATGAAGGTTGGTATTTATGTCAGTCGTAACATGATTTATAGAAGATTGTATTAGATCATGGCTGTATTTTCTGATTTATGGAGCAATAAAAAGAGGTGTCCAAAATCCCCTCAGTCATGTTTTCAACTGTAAGATGTCAAAAAAATGTTTTTGTTGTTTGAAGCTGACTTAATCCAATGATCAGATGTTTCTTGTCTGGAAATGTGAACATGGTCAGACTTCATCTGTGCAGCAAGCCTCTGCACAGCGCCCCCATGAGGACTCACGGTGACAGAGGAACTGAGGAAACACTGTCACAAATAAATAAGTGCAAAAAGGAAAGACCGGAGGAAGGATACGTCCAAAATTCAGAATAGCAAAATAAGAGGTCCCATACCAAAGGGATCAATAAAGTTATATCTAATCTAAGACGACAACAGAGTCGTGAGGTGTCAAAAGACATTTAAAAAAGAAGACAAAAATATATAAATAAACACACAGATACATTCATAAAAATGCTGAAATAAATCAGTGAATAGAATCTATTAAAAGCCAAATTAAAAATGTAGATCTTGAGTTTTCTTTTCAAAATATCCAAAGTCTTTCCTGCCCTCAGGTCTTCCAGAGACGTGAAGGTTTTGTTCTCACTTTGGGTTTAATTAAAGGCTGCTAGCAGAAAACCTGAGGGTCTGAGTCTGATAAATAAGAATATTAAGAGTTTAGTGAACCAATAAGAAGGTCGACGGGTGTCATGTGGGTTCTTCTAGTCTTTTAGTCAACAGCTGAGTTCTGTCATAGTTCAGGGAGACGAGACAGCAGAGCGTCACGACGTCGACCCTGCAGGTGGTCAAGGTGTGCAGCAGTGCTTCTGTAGCGGCTGGACAGACAAACAGCATCCTCAGGTGAGTCTCCAACGAGTCAAAGAGGACGCGTCACTGTTCTCTTGCTAACTTGTGCTTGATGCAGTTTCAGGCTGAGTTTTAGTTTTATCCTTAATGAGCTGCTCTCCATAATGAAATATTACCTCATTTGCATATTTCAACATCAAATATATGCATACATAAAACACATAAAAAACAATATCATGTATTGTAATACAAATAAGTCGTATCTCAGCGTAAGTAACCACCTGTAGTCGTGTCATTAGCTGCTCTTTCTCATCCTGCTCACATCCTGCCCTGCTTTCCTTTAACATTGTGCTTCAAGCTGCTGATTTCTGGTCACATCTCTCCTAGAATACCAGATGCAAAGAGTTCTAGGTCTTGCTTTGAAGTGCTACAAGAAACAAAGAGTCAAAAATGAAACTTGTGCCAAATCAGCGTGAGCATACCAGCAGTAGAAGACCAGCCGAGGAGATGGACCTACAAACACAATCACTTTGTTCATTTGGTTTCTGTAACTTTCCCATCAGCCCCCTGCAGGTAGAAACTTTCTGTGAATCTTCACAGAGAGATAACATCTGAAAGCTTCTGAAAAGGTAAACGCTCCCACTCAGGATCCTTTTTTGTTGGCATTGCTTCTCCTCTGCCGCCGGCCTCACCTCATCCGTCCACCAGGTGTCCTCAGAGTTTCCTCCTGCTCAAGGCCACCTGGCCGCCACACCCCCCTCACCTGTTCCACATGATCCAATCAGCTGCAGTGTATTTCTACCTGCCATCTCACCTGTTGCTCACTGCCAGGCTGTCTCTGATGTGCTACGTTGCTTCTTGATGGCTGCTCCTGTGCTCTGCCGGCCTGCCAACCTCCCTGTAAGCTTCTGCTTTGCTGTTTGTTTGTTTTTTAAGTAAACCACCTAAATTGTGCCTCCCTCCATCAAACTGTGACAAATATACCACACACACACATCTGCTGCTTTGTTTAAAAGAGTAGTTCAACGTTCAAGACCTAAAACCAGTTAGAGAAGATGGGCACCACAACAGGGATCATCAGCTCCACGTGTTGGGCTGGTTGCCTTCATCAGGCTCATCTCACGGCCGCCTGCTTCAATCAGGAGGAGCAGGTTGGTGCAGCAGAGAGCTATGAGCAACATACGCATCAGACGTATGACAGAGAACGAGCTGTTACTGCAAATCACATGAGACAGGAATGCTGGTAGTAAAGTGTCCTTCACCTCTGGGTGAAGCAGCTGCACGCTGGAGCTCCTAAACTTCACGCTTCATACATTCATACATGATCCTCAAGAAGTGCGTTAAGGTGTGGACCTGACGTGGACATAACTTTTGTTTCTTAGTCAGATCAGAGTCAAACTATTGTTACTGAGAGAATGTTCTCTGTGAAAAACACCGATAGGATAAAGAAACGCTCCAATCTGTGTCCTCTTAGTGGCAACACCAGCCACTTGGAAGCAAAGCAGGACCAAGCATGAAGACGTTCAGGCATTTTCTGCATCACCAACTGCATGCACGGAGGTTCCTGGGCACGAGACGCATAGAGTTTGCACTGCTGTGACTGCAGCTGATATTACTGGCTGCAGATAAAACACACTGCCTGAGCTGAGAGTCTGTGTGGCTCAGATGTGGTCAGGAAGAGAGCTGGTGGGGGGCTGGCATGACTTACAGCTGACTACAGCTGCATGGTAACCTCCACAGCTCAGAAGACGACCATCACCATGATATTAAAACCTCTGATCTGAGGCTCAACATGCTTTGCCAGGTCAGCGGTCTGGCCTTACAGCACACCCCCGTGGGGAGACGCTTCCTTCTGTCTGCAGCTTAAGTAAGAAAGCTAAGAATTTACAGAAATGTTGGACTTTTCCTTAAATGCATAAAAATTCATGAATGCTCTTTCATTCACTCTAAACATGTTTCCAGCAGCAGCTTCATCGCCCCTGAACAGAAGACTCCCTGAAGGTCTGACTGAGGGTTTCCCAACAACGTCTTGGTGTGTTGGTGCTCGTCTTGTTACTTCCTTTGCCGTTGCCACCGGCTGAAGTGTTGGCTAGTTTCCTTATTATACAAATGATGCTGGAGAGATGAGCGATGAAACCGCAGCCAGACGATAAGCTCTGAGGTGACAGAACCAGGACTCGGGTTTATTAGAACATATTCACAGGTGCTTCTGCTCCTGACGTCTTGTTTCCTCGGAGGTGGAATGACTCTGACAGGATGAAGCTTCAGATGCCGAGTGGCTCACAGCCCGACGCTGACAGGTGACCTTTGCAGGAAGATCTCCAACATCTGGAGGCACAGCTGGTCTCTGCTTTGCAAGGAAATCTGAATCATCAGATCTGAGTCACACTGATTGAATATTTAGCACAAATGGATGTGAATGGAGACTAACTGGAGGAACATCTTCCCAGTCAGACTCCTCCTGCTTTGCTTTATTCATCTTTAGGCTGCTTGTGTCTTGTTTCGGAAAAGTTCAGCACATTTGCTCTACAAACAAGATGAAGCGTTTACAGCACAGTGGATCTGTGAAGCTGCATCACGTCAGCTGGACTGAGCAGAGTCGATAACTTGTATTTTACTCTAAGCCACGGCCACAGACTGTGTTTGAACATCGGAGCTTATGAAGCCGGCACCGAGCATCCTCCAGCGTCCACGTTCTGACCGTCCAACACTCAAATTCCTGCATTCTGCTGAACTTTTATGCACCAGTTTGTTCCGTTTCCAAATGAATGATGGTGGAAATCTGTTTGTTTATGCAAAGGATGAAACAGCTCAGCTGATCAAAGTGTCCGTCTGCGCTTCAGGATTGGATAATTGATTAATCATAATTTTTTTAAATCTTTGTTTGTGCAGCTTTTTGTGTTTTACATCGTCACCTGTAGGACGCTGTGGGGACACTTTAGTGATATGGTCCACCTGAACCCCCCAGGCCGTCCTGACCATGAGATTCTCATGTAATATTAAACTGTGAACATATACATATATACGTATAAAAGTTTTTGGCAATTCGAAGGGAAATGATTGTATTTTAACCTGAGCTATGATTATTTTCTCAAACCTAACCAAACAATTTTGGTGCCAAAACGTAACCACAGAGCGACTAAAAACTCAGTTAACAATAAGTGAAGCTGACGTCCCACCATAGTGCCACACCAGACATGCCAACAATGTGCCATTTTTGCAGACTTCAGTGAAAATCCTGAGCCGACTCATGCCTCCAGCCTCCACTTGGAACTCCTGACAGACTTTGTGACTCTTTAAGCGGGACGCCTTTCCTGCGGCGTCACAGAGACCAAACTGTAGTTAAAACGTCAGACGGCATCTGTGCAGGATTTCCTCTCCTGTGTGTTTGTTTGGGGAGGTAACCCCTTTAAATGTGCATATGGCACCTTTTACATCATCTTTAATTAGTTTCTAAAGCTTTGCTTTAATAGTCTGTGTTTCAGCAACATTTCTGCTCATTTTCACGTTTCTCTGCACATTCAGGACGTATGTCAAAGACGTGACGTGTCGCCGCCGAGGCATCGCTGAAAGAACATTAAAGTCCTTTTGCATCTTTCATGTTTTTCTTGGGTTTGACTCGCTCTGAATCCCCTAAATTCTATATTATGCTGAAACCACCACAGTGTCTTGGTGGCGACACAGACAGAATAATTCACTGTGAGGAACGTCAGTGCAAACCTTCATGGCACCACATCCAGTAGCTGTTATGAAGTGGTGGACTGATTAGCATCTCCATCCCTCGAGCTGCTCATGTAGCCAAAAACCACGAGGAGAGCCGTCCCTGTCACAACACGAGTAGTGATGGCCGATAATTAGGATGAGAAGTTCAGTGGAACAGGACATGTGATTGTGCGGATTGCCCCTTTAGCCCGTTCATTACAGCTCAAATCAAACCGATGCTGAGAATCCCCCTCGGATCAAAACAAAGTCGGTTATGAAGCTGCTGCAAACTCTGGAACGGCAGCACATTAAATAAAGATTTCTATGATTAAATACGACACCAGATGTGTTGTCCACACCAGTGTGGGCCTCTGTGGGATCACATGAAAGACGGCGCTGCCTCACATCTTCAAAGAGCCACAATCATTTGTTTATTCTTACATCTCCTTCGTCTCCGTCTCTGCAGTTTTCTCCGGAGGACGGTGGGAGGGTGACAGCCGGAGGTCAAGCTTCAGCTCCTATTCTCCTCTGCAGAGAAACACCAGATGCCTGACAGCGTGTACGGTAAGGGTTTGTTTGACTGGTTCCTGAACACGTTGGGTTCAACTCCAGCACAACGACTGATGGGTTCCTAATGCAGCATCTGATATCTGATCAGCTTCTACCCACCCAACATCAGAGGAACATCTCAGTGTGCGCTACAGTGGCAGGAATGAGCAGATGTGGGTCCAGAACGCTCTGATTTCTTAGACAGCAAATAGCAGACTTGTGGACATTGGTCTACAGCTGGACTGACATCCAGCAGCCCGGCGGGTCAGTGCTGGCTGATCGGCTGAATCGATCCGTTTCCTAACTACAATTTTTTTTCTTTGACTCCAAGTCACAAAGCAAAACTATGTACATGCACATTTCTGTTTGATGAAAATGGTAAAAAACCAAAACAACGGGGAGTAAGTGAGTGAAGACACAAGAAGCTCCAAAGTCAGTTTTCTTGCCTTTGGTTCAGGTCCGACTGACGTCTGCTCATTCACAACATGCACCGTCATCACAGCCAACACAGCCCAGCGCTTTAGGATTCAGAGCCATGTGTTGGGCTCTTCTATGCATCCTGAACCGCTCAGCTGGAACCCGGCAAAGCAAACGCCAAGAGATCCGAGTCCAGAACAGTTTTGTCAACTGAAAGTGAAAAGCTCTTATTTAAACCCAAATCATGACGTGTTCCCAAACCGAACAGAACCTAACGGACTCATTTTGGTGCCAAAACTGAATTAAAAAACAAAATGTAATTCATCTTTGAGTATCTAGCGCTGAATAAGTGTTGTGTATTATTATTATTATTATTATTATTATTATTATTATTATTATTATTATAGTCAGGGCTGCAGGTGGATCAGTGGTTAGCACCGTGGCCTCACAGCTAGAAGGTCGCCGATTGGCGTCCCGGTGAGGACACCCGGGATCTTCCTGCGTGGAGTCTCCATGTTCTCCCCGTGCAGCGTGGGTTCTCTCCGGGTTCTCCGGCTTCCTCCCACAGTCCACAAACATGCTGAGGTTAATTGGTGATTGTAAATTGTCCGTAGGTGTGAATGTGAGTGTGCTTGGTTGTCTGTCTCTAAGTGTAGCCCTGTGATAGACTGGTTACCTGTCCAGGTGAACCTGCCTTCACCCTGAGTCAGCTGGGATAGGCTCCGCCCCCCATGAGGATTAAGGGGTAGACATGATGGATGGATTATTATTAAGTCTAAGAAACAGGAAACACAATCTGCAACTTCTGTAGTTTTGCCAAAGTCCTCGTGCCTCAGCGTTCTCTCTTCACCTTCGTAGATGGAAAACTTTCCTCCAACGTCATGTGTGAGAAAATAAGCATCAACAACAAAATGATGTTCTCTGGAAGAGTCAACAAGAGCTAAACGTAGTTGTGTAGTTTGGTGGAGACATTCTGACGACATCTGCTGAAGATCAACAAACTGTCTTCAGGATCACAGTCGGGATTTTATGTGATTTTACGTTTTTGAAGGCTGAAGCTGCGACACTGAGCTTCATGTGAGCTCGCAGTGTTCAGTGAGGTGTGTTTCAGTGACAGTCTTGTTAAGAGAAGCCTCATTTCCTTTAATCCTGTGTTCGAGTTTTCTTTACTGATGCCACAACATGTCAGCCTGCTCGAGTCCTTCCAGAACGGAGTCAATGTAAGAAGACCATTGAGGCTCTGCATAGAGTGAGGATGGGAACACACTGGGCCTTCTGGGGCCATAGGTGGGATCTGGTAGTGTGGTGGTGAAACTGGAGGTAATCCCTTGACAGAATAACCTGATGATGAAAAGAAAGGCAGGCTGGCTTTGATCCTGGATGTAAAGAACATGTTGGATAGACGCTGACAGAGAACGTCTGCATTCACTGTGAGAGGAGGAGTTTCCAGAGAGGCCGTCTTTGTGTTTGATGCTGTGAAACCTTTTAAACTCTGGGTTCAGGCAGGAGACTGTAGGACTGAAGACATTTATTAGAAGACGTCTTACAAAAGAAGAGACACACACACAGCCTTCTGCTTTCTGTCCACGTACAAACAAACGGAAATGAGCCGATTTTAAAAAAGCTAAAAATGAGCATCTATTCAACCTGGTAAAAACAACAACGGATGAAGTGAAACTAAACTAAAACATGTTTTACCGACACGTCAAATTTTTACAGTTGTTGAGAAAAGTGGAGGCGAGGAGTCCGTTTCTGTCTGAGCAGTTCACACTGACTGACTTCTGATGCGATTCCAGTTCACAGTGCAACAGGAAACCAGTTCAGCATCAGTCAGCGCCTCTCTGGAGGCTGCACATCTTCTGTCCTGGGAAATAAAAAGCGGTTGGTCTTATTCCAGTTTCAGACTATGGCACGGTTGTTGTAGCTTCGTCAAGTGAGTAGAAGAGGCACCGGCATGGTCGTGGTAAAGGTTTGTGTCGGCCACATCCTCAGCGCCAGCAGTTGGACTTGTTCACGTCCTCTCACCTGTTGGCCACGTTTCTACCTGAGAGGGTATCAACAGAAAGACGTTGCTGACTTTAATCGAACTGAAATGTCTCCACTCATCTACCTACAGAACACACAGCTGACTCTCTCCCTTCGCGTCCCTGAATGTGTTGGCATTGTTCAGCAGGTGTTCGGTTCCTGTGGATCAGCACCAGGAAAACGACCTCCCCACCATTTCAAAGAACAGCTTGTTGGGCTTCCTGAAGTATCGGCACAGCTTCTTCAAAGCCTGCGTGCTGAGCGGTGCGTGCGGCCGGCCTTTGGACTCGTCCAGGCACTTGTCGTGTCCGGCAGACAGGAGGCAGTAGAAGCCCTTGGTGGTGTTGTAGTAGAAGTTGCTGGGGTTGATCCTGGGCGGCAGGTCCAGAAACCTCTCCGCCTTTCGCAGCTCGGGGAAGGGGTTCCGAATGAGCGCGTCGCCGTCCACCACGTGGATCTGCTCCCTGGGGAAGACCTCCAGCCAGCGCGCCAGATGCTGGTGGTACAGGCTCCTCTGCAGCGCCTTGTATCCGGGGTCGATGTGGCCTTTGTGCAGCAGCAGCTCCTCCAGCGGCTGGTAGGGCTTGTGCCGGGTCAGGCGGTTGTGCAGGACCTGGGTGTAGTCGGAGACCAGCCTCTCAGCAGGGTCCCGCACGATGAGTAACAAACGGACGGCGGGGTTCACGTCCCAGACACGAGCAGGAACCTGAGGAGCTGCAAAGTAGCCGGGGGTCTTCTCCACCGTCAGCTGACCAGGCAGCGTGAAGGGCATCTGGGCTCGGTACCAGGCCACACCCCGGCGATAGTGCTCCTCCACGTTGAAGTAGTGCACCTGTCAGAGATACAGAAGGTGGAGATAAGGTTCAAAAAGTTAAAAAAGGAAACTTTCCATTCATGTTCCACATGTTGATGTTTGGCTGTTGGACTTTTAAGCCTTTTTACCATCTAACAGCCTCCCAGCTCGTCACGCCGTCCCCGTCCTGTCGGAACCAATCTCTTCTTTGTAGCTCACCTTAAACCGTCCTGGTTAGACGTTCCCTCCACGCAGCCTTTCTCAGGACAGGCCTGTCATCGTTCGTAACCAGAAACGCGTACGTCCAGCTGACTTTGCTGTGATTTATCTGCATCCTCTGCATTTATGTGTGATGTCTGAATACAGTCCTCTTGGACCTGCTGCTGACCTCATATTCGATCCATGCTTCAGTAGTCACGTGTTCCTGCGTTGCACTTCACCCAGAGTTTCCACACATCAGCCCTCTATCGACACTAAGCTCACATACAGTGTTTGCATCTCATCGAGCCTTCAGGGTCAGGAGTGGCTAACTTCTGCTAACTTTACAAATGTTTGCAGTGTTCTGTGATGTGTAGGTCAAACATACGGATGGAGTCAGTTCAATAGCAGGGAGATGCCTTTAGAAGAACCCAGCACATCCATCCATGGTGAGACATGGCCCCTCTGATTCATAACGTAACCTCTAATCCTGTAGATGGTCCAAGTGGCCTCGGCTCTGACTTCTTTATGCTCTGCTGGGAGTTTAAACCTCAGTCAGGCTTCGTGTCTGACGAGTCCCACCGTGACTCTAAAGTCAGCCAAGTGCTGAACCTTCCTGTTTCCTGTCGCACTCCTGTGAGGTGGAATATCATGATAAAGCTGATTTGCTTTAGCAGCAGTTCAAGTAGCTTCCTGTATAATAAAACACAGAAAAGCAGCAACCTCTAATGTCTAACAAGCAGCATTAAGGGAGGTTTTGCTTCTTCATAAGAGACTTATTGTGAAATTCCCATTCAGGTGTCTAATTTAGTAATTTACTGGAACTAATTGATTCATGAACTTGTTGTATTTCCTCATCAAATGTGGAGTACATTCATCCAACATGGACATGTGAATAAAGTACTTGTACCTGAAAAATGTACTGCAAGGTGGAATAAATAAATTATCTATCTATCTATCTATCTATCTATCTCGTCCAGTCGAGGTGATGGTTTCACCGTTTCAGCATCTTAGATGTGCTTAAAGTAAGATGTCCTCACTGGAATTGGCTCTTGGACAGAAAAGACAACGGTGACTTTGTCCTTCCTCGTTGCAGTTTGGTTTGATCAGCTGGTGGGCCAAGAACAACTGAGCAGGTTCTGAAAAGTGTGATCTGCTTCATGGGCCCAGAATAAACACATTCATTTAAAGGACTGCCGTTGTTCATCAAGTCGCTGTGAGAGGATCAGAGTGTGGCCGAGAAATGTGACGTCCTCCAGTCACGTGTCCCTGTGACTGATGCATGACCAGAACTGGCATCTGGGAGGGACTGTTTCACTAACAAACACGTCCTTTCATTTGGTTCCAAATGAAGGGAAAACCCACTTCATAACAGCCTCAAGACAAATCTGAGATGATTCATGGGAGAGATAAGAAGAAAAGGAAAAGCTGTGACACATAAATGCATTTGTATACCTCTGACTTTAACCCCTTCAAGCAACTTTGCTCGTCTTAGCCAATGCTGCTAACGGTTAGCAGTGAATACGCTAGCAAATAGCAGCGCTAGCAGCAAAGT